CATGCAGACATGATATATAGCGTGTATCCCTTTGTGTATTTTACTGATTCACGTCCTATAAATCATTTGCAGCCGGTTCTATACCGATATAAGGGACAGTATGAGCTCCTGGTGACAAGGAATTTCCTCATAGGGACCCTGCATGGCAAGACCACCAACTGCAGCATCTGTTACTGGACATATGTGCCTCTTTGTTTGTTGTCCTGTGAGCATGCAGGCCTACCTAACTGATAACAAGTGTGTCTGCTGCAATCTCTCTCTAGAAGAGGCATAACAAATTCATACAATGTTTAGAGTTTTGGTTTATGGGGCATGACTGGAGACTTGCTGCCAGCTTTCCTTCCAGGGCATAAAAATGCAAAAATAATCCAATCCGAAGGTCCTGTGTGCATCTAGTGATGTCCACGAGCGCCCCAGGACTCCCAGACCTGGGTATTTGGTAAATACCAACCACCTTCCATGACCTCTTCAGGAGGTGAGCACTGTGGTAAGGTGCAGGCAGCATACCATGGTCCATTGAAAATACAAGTTTGCTGTAAAGTGAATGAGGCCCCAACTGTGCTTTGGCTCTGTATTTTATATTATTTATTTCAGGTACTTGTATTGCACCGTCAGTTTATGCAGCGCTTTACATATATATTGTACATTCACATCAGTCTCTAACCCTCAAGGGGCGTACAATCTAAGGTCCCTAACCCTCAAGGAGGGTACAATCTAAGGTCCCTAACTCACATTCATACATACACATACTAGGGACAATTTAGACAGGAGCTAATTCACCTACCAGCATGTCTTTGGCGTGTCGGAGGAAATCGGAGTACCTGGAGGAAACCCACGCAGGCACAGGGAGAACATGCAAACTCCAGGCAGGTGGTGCTGTGGTTGGGATTCGAACCGACGACCCAAGTATTGCCAGGCGGATGTAAGCTCCTCTGGTACATGGGACTGTGGGGGAGGGGACATTAGAGTGTAAGCTCCTCTGGTACAGAGACTGATGGGACTGTGGGGGAGGGGACATTAGAGTGTAAGCTCCTCTGGTACAGAGACTGATGGGACTGTGGGGGAGGGGACATTAGAGTGTAAGCTCCTCTGGTACAGAGACTGATGGGACTGTGGGGGAGGGGACATTAGAGTGTAAGCTCCTCTGGTACAGAGACTGATGGGACTGTGGGGGAGGAGACATTAGAGTGTAAGCTCCTCTGGTACAGAGACTGATGGGACTGTGGGGAGGGGACATTAGAGTGTAAGCTCCTCTGGTACAGAGACTGATGGGACTGTGAGGGAGGGGACATTAGAGTGTAAGCTCCACTGGTACAGAGACTGATGTGACTGTGGGGGTGCCGTGGTTGGGATTCGAACCAACGACCCTAGTACTGCCAGGCGGAAGTGCTAACCATTTAGCCACAGTGCTGCCCCTATATAGTGTAGCATTTACCTCCACTGGAATTAGAAGTTTGGAGGACACAATAATACAAACTCAGCTACATATTTTTCCTTATGTTTCATACACAGGCGTACCTCAGTTTACGAACGCCTCGGTTAATGTAATTTTCGGTTTACGAATTAAAATCCATTGAAAATAATGGCTCGGTTTTTTCCAATACGAACGGATGAATAGGTTTTCAATGCATTTACAAATTAATTTTTAATCATGTCCCTGTACAGTATTTATGTCTTTAAAGTGCACTTTATAAAGAGTTTTGAACAGATAAAAGACTTTTTCGTTACTTTTTTCTGACCTCCGGAACGGTCCATTAGATGGTTTTCAATGCATTCCTATGGGAAACCGCGTTTCAGTTTACAATTTTTTTGTTAATCATGTCCCTGTACAGTATTTATGCCTATAAAGTGCACTTTATAAAGAGTTTTGAACAGATAAAACTTTTTTTTTTTTAACTTTTTTCTGACCTCCGGAAAGGATCAATTGGTTTTCAGTGCTTTCCTATGGGAAACCGTGCGTTTTGGTTTACAAATTTTTTCGGAATGCGAAAAGTCCCGGAGAACTCAATAAATTCATAAACTGAGGTACGCTTGTAATATTGTGCCAATTCAGGGCAGCACAGTGGCTTAATGGTTAGCACTTCCACCTGGCAGTACTCGGGTTGTTGGTTTGACTCTCAACCAATGCACCACCTGCCTGGAGTTTGCATGTTCTCCCTGTGCTTGAGTGGGTTTCCTTTGGATACTCCGGTTTCCTCCCACACTCCAAAGACATGCTGGTAGGTGAATTGGCTCCGGTCTAAATTGTCCCTAGTATGTGTATGTATGAATGTGAGTTAGAGACCTTAGATTGTACGCCCCTCGGGGGCGGGGCTGATGTGAATGTACAATAGACCTTAGATTGTAATTACATTTTTTAATGGCACCCCCAGAGGAGGACGTGGTGTGCCTTCGGATGCTGGTGCAAAGGCATGGTGCATGCAGTTTCTGTGCAGCTGCATTTTAGGAAATATACAGAGACGATTCCCGGTAGCGCAGCTACCTATTCAAATGCTCAAACCCGGTACACGGAATGCAAGAGTATGAAGGCAGAATGGAGCCCTGGACAATATACCTTAGATTGTACGCGCTATACAAGTACCTGTAATAATAAACAATCTAGCATTGATAAGTACTGCATCAGACAACAACTGCCTACACTTGTGTCCTTTCTTGTGCAGTGACAGGCAGATGATCAGTTGTGCTAACCTCCCTCCCGATTCCTGTTCTCCATGACAGCGGGTGGAGGTTCTGCTCCGCACACCCGTTGTCACGTTTTGACAAGTGCGCAGATCTGTGGGCTCCTCCCACACAGCCGTATCATTCCTTCACAGTTTCCTGTGAATGAATAAACTACAAGTACCATCTTCCACCATAGCAAAACAGTACTTGTTATCAATGGGCTGCAGGGGCTTCCAAACAGAAAGACCATACAGAGGTAGGATTGAAAGCTGGAGGACATGTCTTCAGGAACCCACACCACACCCATGATGCTACTGATCGCAGGTGCAATGCTTTCCAGGCTGCTGCTGGAAATAATTTCATTTTTGCTTCTCGACGGCTGCATGTGTACAGCCCTGAGCAGCTGCGTGCCCTTCTTTAGACGGGCGGTATAACACTGGCTCAGTCACCTGCTTTTTCCACTGCCTGTGTGAGAGGTAATCTCTCTATTGCAGCCTTGGATTGCAGGGGTGTTCTTATTCTCCCCTACTCCATTCACTCCTTAATATAGTTGTAGCTGTTGCTATGAGTTTCTGCTCTGTACACATCATCATCGCCTGTTCAGCCGTGCTCATTTCCAGCTTTTTTTGCTGCCCCCGTATTTCATGTATCCACCATGTGTTGTACCTGCTCCTTCCACTTGCACTCACTGAGCTGAACACATATGATAGGGAAGGATTTGAGGGGGGGGAGGGAGGGAGGGATGCTCGGGGCACAATTAAGTCCCTGGAAAGCATGAGCTTTCGATAAAACTCTCTGTCAAACAAGAGGCTGAGTAAATCACGATGTGTTACTGAGAAGCATTACACTTTTTTTCAAACAAGCACCATGCCATTTTACCCCACGGATTGATGTTCTATGAGATGCCAGTTCATGGAGGCTCGGCAGCCACTCTGGAGCCAGCGCACATCTGGATTGCAGTAAAATTACCCAGAAGCAAGAAAGCAGTTCTATGAGGGGTCAGGAGTACAGAGAAGGGCTGCTGACAAGAGGCGCCACCCTCAGCCCACATGCATTTCCTTGTGTAAACACATGTGGCCAAAAGGCATCCGTGGTCACCTCTCTGTGCGGAGCGGGCTTCCATAAAACAGCCAGCAGAGGCTACAAACAATGTCACTATTATTGTTCTCCGCACAGAAAGGCCTTTTCACACACTGACAGCGTGAGCTCTGCTTGTGGGAATTGTGCGGGCCCATTAAACCCAATGTAGCTGTATTGCACTCGCATTAACACTTGCATGACTCGCACTTCACTAGCTTTGTGCTTTATGGGAGCTTGGGATTGTTAAAGGTCTGACGGCCGGTGTGTGCACCTCCATTGATGTATCCCCCCCCAAAACTGCCTATTGTTATTATTATTATACAGGATTTATATAGCACCAACAGTTTTCTCAGCACTTTACATTATGGTGGGAGACAGTACAGTAACAATACAATTCAATACAAGAGGGGATCGAGGGCCCTGATCCTGGGAGCTTACAATCTAGGAGGAGGGGATAGTGGTACACGAGGTAATGACTGTGGGGGATGGAGTGGTTGGAAGAGTAGAGGATTCCAGTATTAGCTAATGGGAGACAGTACAGCAACAATACAGTTCAATACAAGAGGGATAGGAGGGCTCTGATCCTGGGAGCTTACAATCTAGGAGGGAGGGGCTGGTGGTACAAAAGGTAGTAACTGTGGGGGATGGACTGGTTGGAAGAGTAGAAGATTCCAGTATTAGCTGAGGGCAGGATAGGCTTCCCTGAAGAGAAAGGTCTTCAGAGATCGCCTAAAAGTGAGTAGAGTCAGCGAGAGTCTGATAAATTGGGGTAGAGAGTTGCAGAGGGTGGGGGAAGCTCTGGAGAAGTCCTTGAGACGAGCATGGGAGGAGGAGACAAGGGAGCTAGAGAGCAGGAGGTTGTGGGAGGAGTGGAGAGGACAATTTGGGTGATATTTGGAGACAAGATTGGTGATGTAATTGGGGGCGGAGTTATAAATGTTTTGAATTTTATTCGTTGGGCAATGGGAAGCCAGTGGAGGGATGGGCTGAGAGGGGTGGAGGATACTGAGTGGAGGCCAGTGGAGGGATTGGCAGAGAGGGATGGAGGATACTGAGTGGAGGCCAGTGGAGGGATTGGCAGAGAGGGGTGGAGGACACTGAGTGGAGGTCAGTGGAGGGATTGGCAGAGAGGGGTGGAGGACACTGAGTGGAGGTCAGTGGAGGGATTGGCAGAGTGGGGTGAAGGACACTGAGTGGAGGCCAGTGGAGGGATTGGCAGAGTGGGGTGAAGGACACTGAGTGGAGGCCAGTGGAGGGATTGGCAGAGAGGAGTGGAGGACACTGAGTGGAGGCCAGTGGAGGGATTGGCAGAGAGGGGTGGAGGACACTGAATGGAGGCCAGTGGAGGGATTGGCAGAGAAGGGTGGAGGACACTGAATGGAGGCCAGTGGAGGGATTGGCAGAGAGGAGTGGAGGACACTGAGTGGAGGCCAGTGGAGGGATTGGCAGAGAGGGGTGGAGGACACTGAGTGGAGGCCAGTGGAGGGATTGGCAGAGAGGGGTGGAGGACACTGAGTGGAGGCCAGTGGAGGGATTGGCAGAGAGGAGTGGAGGACACTGAGTGGAGGCCAGTGGAGGATTGGCAGAGAGGGGTGGAGGACACTGAATGGAGGCCAGTGGAGGGATTGGCAGAGAAGGGTGGAGGACACTGAATGGAGGCCAGTGAAGGGATTGGCAGAGAGGGGTGGAGGACACTGAATGGAGGCCAGTGGAGGGATTGGCAGAGAGGGGTGGAGGACACTGCGCGCTCCCAGCACACGTCGGGTACTCACGGAAAGGTCCCAATCTCCTCTTTTCCTCTTTCGATCGGGACCTTTCCCGATTATGTGACTGGCGTGTCATGGTGGTTACATGACCCAAAACCCGCCCCGCCACCCGACTTCTGAAACCCTTAAAGGGCCGGGAAGTGCCAGTGTGAAGGGGTTAAAAATGAATTAAAACAGCATTTTTGGTTTGCGGTGCTCAGACGCAGCGCAGTTCTGCTTTACATTTTCTGGGTTCAGCATCATCAAGGGGTTTTGGATCCATAATATTACGACATGCCTCCATATTGTCCCAGAGCAGGAACTCAGGGATGGCGGGGGTTAAATGCCTAAGTAAAAGGGTGAAAAGCAAATAAATATAACATTGTGTGGTGGAATTTCCTGCCGAAGGTCCCGCTGGGTTTCAGGGTGGGATGACTCAACTCCTACAGTGTGCAGGAAATGCCCATCACCGCCGTCATTCTGACATGTGGGGAAATGTTCTGTGGTCAGCTTCACTGCTGCCTCAGCTCTCCGCCCAGTCACATGACACCTGTCACCTGACCTGCATCCTTGCATGACCTGCTAACACCCTCCACCTGCCTGCCAGCACTTTGTCCTGAGACGGGTCTGCTGGACTGGAGCTCGGACACGTGAGGCCGATGTCATTAAAGTGCACCTGTCAGAGATGGGCGGCATGTTGTGTGCCGGGTGGTTTTTCCTAGAACCGTAACAGATGCCATTTTTGCTGAGGAATGAACGTTCGGCCTCAACAACGCCACGTATTTAGCCCAGAGTGCGACTCGCTGCTTTATTTAGGTGACAGGTACTGTTTGTGATGGTGGACCAGGCTAACGGGTATTAGAAGTGTCATCAGACCTTCTGTCTTGGGTTACCAACGTACTCCTGTCCCGTACCTAGCATGCCTTCCGGCTGAGCAGAATCCCACCTCTTGTCAGCTGAAGGTGCCGACATTGGCTGCTGTGCTCTCCAGAGGCCCTGTATTTTCTGGCCTCCTCATTTTCTCCAAACTTGTAAAACGCATCCCCGTGTGTTCCTTGCATCCTGCGTCACCCCAAACAGGAGCCTATTGCAGTTCCCGAGGTTGCAAAACACAGGCCACAAAGGAAGCATTATTGGACCCTGAATGAAACTGGCTGCAGTGATAGAAAACTAAAATTAAAGGGAAATTGAGTGTTCCTATCATAGCACATTTCTAGTGTTTATCCTGGATACCAGTTCCCATATTCCTTCTGATTGGAGCCCAGGGTGCCTTTTAACAGGAAAATTCTCCAAATCACGTCAGAGCGGCCTTCAGTCTGTGAAGCACGGTCATCTGGAACTGATAATCAGGCAGATAGTGAAATCCTGAGGCTTACAGGGAGTGCGGATGGATGAGATAACAGTGAGCTCAGACCCGGGAGGATGCATGGTGTCACGTGTGGGTCTTGAAATGTTTCTTACATGAGATTCGGGGCTCTGTTGGTGTCACTGGATGGTTAGTCACTGACTAAGGGTCATTGCAGCCCTCGTAGCAGATACATGGTGATGCTGAGACTAAATAAAGTGCTTGCTGACTCTTGTGTTGGTAATCCTTCATTCTGGTGTGTTACAGTTTCATTGAGTTTACATGTATTCTGTATGAAGTCCATCAATGTACTGCAATAATCCCAGACGAATTGACCTTTCTTTCAGTGATATTCGATCGCCTGTGCTAGAAAAAAAAAAAAACAAAAGACGACAATTTTGAGAAAAAAAAAAATATTATTTTTGATTTTTTGCTATTAAATACATCCAGTAAAAACATTTAAAACAATCACATTTTGACATAAATTTAGGCCAAAATGTATTCCGCTAAAAAAAAAAAATCCTGATACGTGTAAATTAATTGGTTTATGTGAACGTTAGAGCATTTACAAATGGCGGTATTGATAATGTGATTTTAAATTTTGTTGCCCTACTGGTAATGGCAGCGATCAGTGACTTTTAAGCGGAAGCTGTGGGCGTTCTGACACTGGGGGGGGGGGGGGGGGGAAATAACTTGGTGTCACTGACATCCCCAGTGACACCAATACAGTGATCAGTGCTAAAAAAACAGCACGGACACTGTACTAATGGCACTGGGCAGGAAGGGGTTAATGTGAGGGGCGATCGAAGGGTTACCTGTGTGTAGGGAGTCTTTTACTAGGGGGCAGGGGTGTGCTTCATTGTAAGCACACTGATCAGGATGGCTGTGCTGTGCAGTGTGCCTGAGCTGACAGGGAGGAAGACTGTAAACAAAACAGTCTTCCTCCCCATCAGTGATGGTCACTAAGCACCGGGCATGGCGGGTAATCACCGGCTAGGACCCAGTGATTGACATCCACGGCTGCGACTGTGGCGCGGGTAGGGCGCATGTGCGGCTCGTACGCGCCCCCTACCTGGAAATGAAAACCACGTATATATACATGATTTTGCGCACTCGTGCCGCTGTGTATCAGTATATCTGCCACACTGCGGCGGGGGTAAGCGGTTAAACATTTGTCTTATCGAATGTCCAGAGGAATTTTTTGCTGGTGTCTTCCATTCATGACACCCCACAAATCTGCCCCGAGCTTCCGTCCTCATCTTGTCATACTGACAAACGTCTGCTTTTTCCGCTCTCTATGGTACTCACTTTGAAAGGCGCCGGGAACCGAAATGTATTCGACTGATAGCTTAATGGTTTAGCTGAGTGGATTTAGATTGCAAGCTTTCAGGAACACTCAGCTTACTTCAGTCTGTTATGTTTAGGAAATGAAGTGTTCAGAGAAAATTGCTTCCCCGGTGAAAGGCTTGTGATCGCTGCCGTCGTTCGGCACAGAACCCTCACAGTCCGGCTGTATATCCCCGCTGGATCCGTTTGTTTTTGGTGCGGAGACAGGAAGTATGTAGCAGAATTGATCAGCCAATGTGCCAGTGATTGAAATTCTCTGATATTTTCTCCCCACCCCATCATTTCCTCTCAGACAGGTCAGCTTTTGTCTCTTGTAATGTTACTCCCAATAAAGAACAAGTTCTCCGTCCATTCATGAAGATTGGAGGATTTCTACATTGCTTGCTGATGACGGCAGCCTGAGGAGGTTCTAGTTGTTGGTTGTGTTGCTAAGTTGATGCGTTGTTTGATTTTTCCAGTATTTTTTTTTTTATAAGTGCAGCATGTTCTGTAATGTGTCAGTGTAGCACCTCCAGGTATGTATTACCTTTCACAGAGATCACAGTGTGCACCCTTGCCTTCATCAGCTTTTCTCTCTGTGCCATCTGTGGTTAAACATTATTCATAGTCACCATCCCTGAACTGAGATGATGACACGATCATGCAGGTCATGGTGCCTGTGCAGATCCTGGCTGTGTTCACAAAAGTTAGACACAGATCAGCCCCTGCTGCAGACTCCTGCCCTCTGGCTTGCTAGCACAGCACACTAATTTATGTCATGATCCATTGTAACCAGGGCTGCTGTTAGAAACCATGGAACCCCACACAGCCAACCTGACAGGCCCCCCCCCTAAAAACAAATCACAGTTTACTATGCGGCAGTTATGAACGAACTCTGAGTGATCAGTACCAAGCACTCATTGTGTTCATTCAGGAAAGGAAGGGGCTGGTAAATATACTTACTGGCCCCTTCCCTCATTCTTCATCCTGAAGGACCCTATTATGTGCTTGTAGTTGCTGGTGGTTAGTAGAGGAGGGAGCCTGGCAGCACTTGGGGGGGGGGGGGGGGGGGGGGGCAATTACTGGAACAGATCCCCTGTATGACTCTCTCTGCAGCAGCTGAAAGCCAGAGGGAAGGAGAGCAGAAGAAGCCAGTTTTCAGCTGCTTCAGAGAGAGCCCTACAGGGGATCAGTTCCATTCCATAATCACCCCCACACTGTGCCGATCACCCTCCCTTCCCACATCTGATTCATCCAGCTACCTGGGCCCCCCTGCTGGCCTGGGCCCCGTACAGGAGGACCAATGGTACCCCCCTTATCCACAGCTCTGATTGTAACAGACAAAAGGGAGAGATGCCTTCTCTGAACCAATGGAAGCATCTGGTAAGGTTTTCTTTTTAGGTTTGATAAGTGTTTTTGTAGCTCTCCTGTTGAGTCGTACAATATTAGATTTTGTTTGTTTCCATTGAGCTACTCGGGGTGATTATACAGATGTCCAGTGCCTAAAGTGTCATTCCAGGCAAAACTACATTTACCCCCACCCCCTATTCTCAGCCTGTTCTATCTATCCTGTAAAAGGCAGGATGTCTATACTTACCTGGTGTGAGGTCGCTCTGGTCACATGATCGGGTCCCAAAGCCGTCTTCAGTGGAGAGGAACCCTTTAAGGGTTTCAGAAGCCGGGAGGTGGGGCGGAGTTTTAGGGTCATGCGACCGCCGTGATTCGCTGTCACGGCGGTCACATGATTGGGAAAGGTCCCGATCGAAAGAGGAGATCGGGACCTTACCGTGATTACCGAACATGTGTGCTAGGAGCACGCAGGGAGCACGCTCTCAGCACGTTTTTTCCTAATTGCACGCAAATGTGCGGCCGCTCGGCGTCAAGGCCCAGATGTGCGGCCGGTGCCAAGAGGTTTAAAAAAAAATGTTTATAGTAAATATTCGATAAAAACTTACAGAGATTTTGCAGGCCTCATTCACACGGTTGTAGTTAAAGTGGAACAATACTCCGCTTAGCTCCAGTTAGGCATCCTCGAGCTCTCCACCCTGCTGCATCTGTGGTTGGGCAAAGTCATTGGCAGGGCAGGGATGATGTCACAACCATGCATGCGCGGGAGTTCAGTTCAGTCAGTGAATTTGTACAATGAGCTGAGCATACACGGTGCACCAATAACGGTGCAGAGGTGGACTGGCAGGTAAGTAGTTTTAATGCAGAAGAACAAAGCATGTCTCTTCTGCATTACAAAC